AAGAGAAGTCAGAATTTCTCTGTATGTTTGCTTGGAAGCCCAGGGTTAATTAATTATTTGAGTTCTTTTGCCATATGCTTGTTACTTTAATGCCTTGTATGTTTTCCTGTAGTATGTAGTAATAAAACCCTTTAAAAGCTGAGAAAGCATGTATGCTACTTTCAGAGAGTTAGGGTGCAAAAGAAGACTGAATTCTGGAGCTCCAGGTATAAGGGGGTGCCTCTTCCTTGCCCCACCCCGAAGGGTTGACCGGCAAGTCAAGGTCTGAGACTTGCTAATGGAGAAAATGAATGGGAGTTCTGGGATCCAAAGTGCCTTTGACATTGCAGACCTTTTTTGGTGAGGTGGAACAATGATTGGATCTAGAGTTAGAGAAAATGGTTTCAAATCTTGGTTCTTTTGGCACAATGGGAAAAATACTCTGGAGTCAGGGGAACACAGAGATCTGAAATTATGCCCCTGATGATTATTTTTAATCTTATTTTTTTGGTGAGGCAATTGGGGTTAAGTGACCTGCCCAGAGTCACTCATTAGTGAGAATTATGTGTCTAAGGCTGGATTTGAACTCAGGTCCTCCTGACTCCACAGCCGGTGCTCTATCCACTGTGCCCCCTAGCTGCCTCCATTTTTTAAAATCTTTTTTTTTTAATGATTATTACCTATGTGGCGATGGACAGGTCACTTAAGCAACTTGAGCCTAAGTTTTCTCATCTGTGCAGTGTGGCAGCTGGATTAGGTGGCCTCCAAGGTACTTTCTAGTTCTATGATTCTACATACTAGTTGTGTGTGACGCTGGGCAACAACAATAATAATAATAATTAGCATTTATTTAGAGCTTTAAGGTTTGCAAAGCACCTTACGAATATCATCTCATTTTATCCTCACAACAACCCTGGAATTAGACTTATGGCTTTTATTATTCCCATTTTACAAATGAGGAAACTGAGGCAAAAAAGGATTAAGTGACCTGCTCAGAGTCATTAGTGGGTGAGGTAGGATTTGAACTCCGGTCTTTCTGACTCCAGGTCTTTCACTCTTTTGACACCTAACTGCCCTTCTTTGTACTTCAGTTTCCCCATCAGTAAAAGTGTAAAGGATTGGATTAGGTGCCCTTCAAGCTGTACATTCTAAATTATGGATTCACTCACCATCTTTTATTAGATGATGGCCCAGCTGTCATTCTTAATTTCTTTAATCACTTCACTGTTTACATATTCTGGTGTGTCATGCAAGGTTAACAGGTAATACCACAGAATATTCCATGTGCAGTTAAAAATAATATATCTGAATCACCCCCTTTGTTACCCTCTTTCAGTTCCCATATAGAGCTATCCAAGGAGTGAATTTTGCTTCGTTCATGCAGTCTACGCAATGTTAGTTAACATTAGTGACATTTGTCACTACTAATTGCTCAAGAGTTGAGATCAGGTAAGCAATCTTTGAGCTCATCTGTCAAAAATGACCGTAGGAATGTTGAAGAAGAAAGTGTTCCTGCTGCCCTGGGTGCCTGGGAAGTATTCCAGTAATATCAACAGAGTAACTTACGTGGCCACTGACTTCTAACATGGATGGGAAGTGAGTGGGGTGTGACCCTTTTCCCTGGACAGTCTCATTCAATTTTATTGTAATTTGTTGATCACCTACTTTTGTTTGTTATCATTGTTGTTTTAATAGCTTTCATGTTTTTATTAAAAATTATCTCTGGAAGTTGCTTCCATTCACAAGATTTCCACTCAAGATTTGTTTTTATTTTCTGGTAATATATTTAGACTGGAGTGAGAAAGGAGAGGCTGGATAGAGTTCTGGCTCCCAGTCAGGAAGACCTGAATTCAAATGGGACCTTAGACACTTGGGCAAGTCACTTAACCTCTGTTTGCCTTAATCCACGAGAGAAGGAAATGGTAAACCACTCCAATGTCTTTGCCAAGAAAACCCCACGGACAGTATTGGCATGCTATGGTCTTTGGGGTCATGCAGAATCATACACAACTGAAAATCAACAAGAAAGGAGCTACTCAAAGTTGTGGAGGTAAGAATCCCTTTCCTATGATGTCTGCTCCATGGGGCAGCCTTGGTCAAAGAGAACAAGAGAACAAGATCGAGGTGATGGCTTTGTGGGGCTCAAAGAGGAGGCGTTTATGTCTTAAACTACAGATCAGGGAATCTGATATATTTGTCATGTAGTTTGCCAGTAAAATATGTTGAAATATTGAGAAGTAACACGAGAGGAGCTAGAGGACCTAAGTTCAAAGCTTAATTACCTTTGTGACTTCAGGCAGGACACTATAAAATGAGGGAAGTGGACCAAATGACCTTTAAGGTCCCTTCTAGCTGTAATTCAATGATTGAATGCTAGGCAGTGAGAAGTGGAAAGTGAGAAGGCAAATTCTTTGGACACTGAGGAGCAGCAGTTCTGGTTTTCCTAGGTACTTTTCAGCTGAAGAACAAGAAAACTCAATAAGCATCTCTAAGACAAAGGGGGAGAAGGAGAGGGGGAAGGAAGGGAAAAAAAGAAAAAAAATTACATGATAATTTTGTTCTATATTGAAAAGGAATAGCAAGTAGTACGCAGTAGACTTGTAGTTTCATGTACAATCTTTTTTTTATTGTACTATGTTATGAAAATGCTTGTTTTATTCCATAAATTAAAAATAAAATAAAATAAAAATTTCATCTGTTAAAAAAAAAGAAGTAATATGTCCCTCAGAGCCCAAGTATAATCATACCCTTGGGTGGGGGGAAGGGAAACCCTTAAAGGGGAAACCAAACATTGAATGTACCTGATGGTCCTAACAAACCAAAATATTTGCCTACGTTCTTAGTGATTAATTTGATCAATTAAGGGAAAAAATCAGCCCAATTAGCTGTTTGTTGTTTGTTGTTAAATAAGTTGACTGACTAAAATTTTCATCGTTAATCAGTTGTTTTGGTGTCCTGCAGATGTGTGTAATCTTCCCCGTGTGGGGCTCAGATATGTAAACAGGCATTTTGGCAACCGATACAAGAGTCCTACATACATCCTGAAAACAATCCTAGAGGGAGAGCGTAGGACACCGGTTGTCTAGTTGGGGAGGGTCCTGGACACAACCTGCTAATAGCAATATGGAGGCCCAGTGAAGCCAGCCAATGTTGGGGGAAACCCTGGAATGTGGGAAGACCATTACAGGGAAGGCTTTCATCTGGGGAGAAGCAGGGCTCAACTAGAGATTTTAAGTAAGTCTTCTTGCTAACTAGTTTCTGTGACGCCGAAGGAGTGAAAGTACTGTGAAGCTATAGCTATAATAATTTTAATTGCCCAATTTAAAAATCATTATTTTATTTTGCTCCTTCTAAATGTTGATACCCTGGTCTTTCTATTCTAGTTCCGACCCTGGTAGGAGACTATGCATCAATAAATATTAATGTCTGTACACAAGAGGCTGAAAAATGGATGTAGGGATTTGGAAGGAGCATCTTTAATAGCTTTGTATCACACTGGGATTGTTTATTCTCTTGATCTCTCGCTATGCTTTTGGCAAAAAGCCAGTGTGGGAGAGACCATTAAGGTTGTTCTTTTAGTCATCTACTTTGAAAGGTATATCCTTCAGGTGGCATTAGGCACCCCACTCCCTGTCTGCCCACGCCTGGATCCAGAGGGAAGAACATTTTTGTGTGTGGGGGTGACATTCTTGTTTCAGGGGAATGGTTGATGATGTTATTTTTGCTTCCCACAAATGGGGATGTTTAAAATAGGGCTTTATTCCATCGGTATAAGTGACACATAGCCTATGTATAGTGGGGAAGTAAGGTCCTGGCAGATGAGAGGATTTGATCTCAACAAAATGCAAGAGCTGTGGGTGTCTCCAGATCATAACCAGGGGAGCTGCTTCAGCGATCGATCCCCAGCAAAGAGCCCAGATCTCCAGCTGACCCATCCTTCTTCCCAGACCACTGCATGGACTGAATGGATGAAACTCAAAGCCAGTGAGCTGGGATTTGGGCTTCACTTCCCGAGGGTATGCTGCTGGGTTGTGTTTCCTCTTTGAACCTCCCTCCAAGCTGCATGGGACTGACGAAGGGTAAACTTCGTCGTTCTGGAGTGTCTTTTGACTCCGTGCCCTGAAACGCTGGAGGACCGCCAGTGTAATCTAATCAGGGACTGCAGCTGAGGCTATATTTAATTAGAGGCTTATTGTCTGGCCATGGTTTCACAAATTTGGAGACCTTTGGAAACTTTTGTTGGAGGAATCGAGGTGGAGGGCTCATTTCTGCCCTCAACCCTTTCCAATTTCTCCACCTTAGTGACTATATTTGTAAAGTAAAAACCTCACTTTCTAGTTCTGTGAAAAATATACCTTTGTCCTTTTTATTGGCTCTAAGAAGATTCTAGATGAGACCTTTCAAAAAGCACTGGGAGTTCAGGGGGGAGGGTTAGAGAGGGTAACTTTGGGGTATGTGGAAAAGGATCCTTTCCCCTATTAACAATCGTATTGCCAGAAGGCATCCTCTTCAGCTGCTCCTAAGAGGAATTGGATGACTTTCCAAGGGAAACTTATGCCACTTCTCAGCACAAGGGAAATCTTGAAACTTTTCCAGGATTTCTGTGCATGAAGAATGTGACATTAAAGAGATGCAATGAAAAATTGGGAGAGAGAAAGAAAAAAGGCCCATTAATTTGGGTCTTTGAGGGGTGAAAGAGGTGGCGGAGTTGAAGGATAATTTACTATTTCCTCAACCCATCTAAAGTAGAGGTTATAGCCACTTCTGATTGTTTTGAATAAAAACGTATGATTCCCCTCTATCACACCTCCCCACCCCCAAACCTCTATTATCTCTGTCTCTGTCTCTCTCTGTCTCTGTCTCTCTCTCTGTCTCTCTGTCAAAATTCTCTGTGGAACCTCTCCTCTCCATCCAGAAGTTTGGTTTCAGTGTGCCTGGAGACTGGACACTAAAAATATTTCTGGAATGACGTGAACCTCTCTCACCCCATTCAGGACCTGGGCAAGGCTACACAGGAACACATGCTTTCCCTTCATTTCTGGGTGTCTCCCTGTCCGGCTACAGATGCTGCTCCTTCTGTTACCAATGGCATTCAGTCTCATAGCTGCAGACAGTGCCAAGCCAACAACTGTAAGGGAAAGCTCAGCTTCAAGACCCTGGCAGCTATCACGGCAGGAGCAGCAGCCCCCCCAGCACAGACCACTGGGGCCACCTCCGCCACCCCATCCAGGGGCCTTCCCATCTCCCTTGGGTTTGCCCAGGCCCCGCTACAGGGGCTGAAGAAGTTGAAGCTGGTATCAGTGGCAGAAGCCTCCCCAGCTGGGGGGCCAGTCCAGGCACGTGGGTCCCTTCTCCAGGCAACTCTTCATCCCAGAAGGGGCCAGAGTAGGATCCAAGACACCTTCAGCTCCCGCCACTGCCTCCTCCTGTCACTTCGGCCTGAGGAAGGGATCATTATGGAAGTGACAGCTCCTGACCCACTGAAGCAGCCCAAACTGAGTGAGATCGGGGATGGGGAGGGCAGCAGCCAAGGCAGCCAAGACCTCAAGCAACAGCAGCAGCTGACGCTTGCAAAGCCATCGGGGGAAGCAAAATATGTGGAGATCTGTGGCCCCGCTGGAGCAGCCAGAGAAAGCCCTGGGACTTTGAACTTAACTCTAGTGGGTGACCCTGGGAGCCCCCAGAGCAGAGCTAGCAGCCCCCCGCATGAGTCCACTGCTCCTACCTCCTCGGAACTGGCTGGCTTCCAACTCTCCTGCAACCAAGGGGGGCCCAAGTCCTTTTCTTCTCTCTCCTCCTCTGCCTCCTTGTCCCCAGGGGACAGGGTAGCGGAAGCCCGCTCCCCCCACCTGGACGACACGACCACATCCGTTGGTGGTCCGGCCTCATCGTCTTCTTCCTTAGGTTTCGAGAGCGAGAGCGGTGAGGGCAGTGACCGTGAGCCCAGCTGCCCTGAGGATTACAACCCAGCCCACCAGCCCAGAGCGGGAAAAGGAGGAAAAGCAAAAGGAGGAGCAGGAAAAGGAGGCCCGGCAGGGTTCGGGGCCACTCCTGCCAAGTCCCGGGGTTGCGGCCACCCCCCACCGAATGAGGAGGCTCACTACATCACCACCCATGAGATCCAGCTGAGTGAAGTCGAACAGGACACAGACTTTGACCTCGGCTTGGCCTCTCGCTGGGACTTCGAAGACAACAACGTGATCTACTCATTCGTAGACTACGCTTCCTTTGGTGGTAGTGATGAGACCCCCGGGGACAACAGCACCCCGACCGAAGACAGCTGCTACCTGAGCACCGGCCCGAGCACCAGTGCCACCAGGTCTCCCACCCCCATCAGCAGCGAGCCAGGGCCCGCAGCCATGGCCAGCGATGGCCGTGACACCAGCAGCACTGAAGTGGGCAGCTCTGAGAGTGACGCTGATACGGCCGCTGCTGCCACCCCCCCTGGTGAGCCCCCAGGCGAGCCCCAGAAGGCAGCTCCAGCAGCAGCAGCAGCAGCAGCAGCCCCAAGCAGCTGTGGGAACGCTCCAGGCCAGATCCGCCTATCAATCAAACCAACTTCCCGGGCTATAAATGAGCCTAGCAACGTGCGGCCAAAGCAAAACATTATTCACGCTGCCAAGCATGAAGGCGAAATGAGCCTCCGCGTCTCCTCAGCTGCCGAACACAATTCAAGTTTGCCCAAGCCGCCCCCAGCTGCAGCAACACCTCAAGACCATGCAAAGAAGTTTATCGCCGTACCTGCCCGCCTGCAGACCAGGTGCGGGGCCGTCCGGGCGAAGGAGCTGGTGGATTACTCGAGCGGGGCGTCCAGCGCCGTCAGCGAGCTGGACGACGCAGATAAAGAGGTGCGTAACCTGACATCCCGAGCCTTCCGGAGCCTGGCTTACCCTTACTTTGAGGCCCTTAACATCAGCTCCAGAGCGTCCTCCGCAGCCCTCTCCGACGTCGGCTTTGGCCGCTGGTCGACCTTCTTGGACTTAAAATGCGGGGGTCTCGGGGCCAAGGTGGAGCAGAGCCTGCTGAAGAACAGCGCCGCGGCTGCAGCCGCGGGGCTGCGGAAGGGTACTGGGGCCAGGACGTCCGCAGACCAGCTCTACGTGCAGTCCAAGAAGTCTCAGACCAAGGCCCTGGAGTTCGTGGTCAGCAAGGTAGATGGGGAGATCACCCACGTGGAGACACCTCTGTGCTTCCAGAAGCAGGTCCAAAGCGGCTCGCGAGTCGTCACCCTTTTGGAGACACTAAATTTGCGCAGCGACAGCAAAGCGAGTTCTGTTGCTGGGTCCGGCAAAAAAGGTGCCAAGGCCCCGGGGTCAGTTTACACAGATGACGGCTCGGAGACCTCGGAGAGCAGCAAGCCTTCGTCTCGGGCAGAAGGGACACAGAAAAAGTCCAAGTTTGCTTCCAGTCTTCTCAAAAATGTCATCTCCAAGAAGATGCAGAGGGAGCAGGAGTTCAAAATGGAGCGGGGGCAAGTCTCGGACACGTCTCACAAGAAGCCCCCTGGCTCCTCCAGGGAGCCCGAGGACTCTTCGGGTTGGGAGAAGCCCCCCGAGAAGGGCCTGCAGAGACAGAGCTCCCACTACTCAGAGGCCAGTTCGGAGTACACAGTGGTCAGTGTCTCCGACGCTGGTGGGGACGCTCCAGAAGACAAATCTCCAGTTTTTCAAGCAAGCGCTCCCCGGGAAAGCAGTGCTGGATCCAGCAGGCCCTTCACTGACCACCGCCCGGAAGAGGTGTGTGGAATTAAGAAGAGCGCCTCTGAAACTGTCAAGGGCATCTTCCTTCGCAGCCAGAACAGCGCGTTTAGGTCCTGGAAGGAGAGGGAGGCTGAGAAACCGGAGCAGACGGCCCCTATCCGGAGACTGAAGCTGTCCAAAGGTGGGGACTGGAAGGCTGACCTCGGAGAGATATCGGCCGGCAAGTCGACAATCATGTCCCGACTCTTCGTCCCCAACATCCAGCACACTCCCAAAGACAAGCAGCCGGGAAAACAGGCCACGAAATATCCGTCGGCCCAGGCTGCCTCCACAGCTGTGATCAAACCCAAGGTCCCTGAAATCAAGATCCGCCTGGGCAGTGTGCAGGAGCCCAGCGCCGACTTTAATATAGCCAAGTTACTCACCCCGAAGCTGGCAGGCGGCAGCACTTCAACCCTTTTCAAGACCGTCGAGGACAACAACAGGGCGCAGCAGAAACTTTTCAGGGGGGACAGCTTGGAAAAGGTGCCCCAGTTCCAGGTACGGGATGTGAGGGACAAATCCAAAACTCAAGGGCCGCTCCACCAGGTGAGAGACGTCAGGAAACTGATCAAAGGATCTGGGGAAAGCGGTGATAAGGGAAGTGTGACCCCCGAACAGGGAACCTCGGGACCGAAACCCAGGCAGCTCTCTGCAGGTGGCAGCGTGCCCAAGTCCCTGTCCCCAATGGTGATCACTTGCCAAGCCGTAGCGAACTACAGAGAAGAAGGCATGGACCGAGATCGAAGGGACAGCATGGGGAAAGCTGCCACTAGGACCCTTCCCTCCTCTTCTCCAGAAGGTACGGTCTTAGTTCACAGGGCATCTGGTCGGTTGCCTGTGGCCACCATTGCTCCCAACAAGACAGAGCACGGTTCCCACCTGCCTGTACTAAAGATTGTCTCCAAGACATCTGCCCAGAAGACACCGGAAAAGCCCAAAGAAGAAGAGGCCAAGGAGGAAATCAAAGCCCCCAAGCCAACACGCAACGCCCTAGAGAAGCTCACAGCCGCCGTGAGATCCATGGAGGAGCTGTACAGCTTCAATAGGTATGAATGGAAGCGCAAGAGTGACCCACTACCCGTGATGACTGACAGTCACGTGCTGTCCCTCATTGAGAGTGAAGAACGCGAAGGCCATGGGAGGGAAGCAGACAAGCCAGCCAAGAGATTGGTGGAGGTGGAAGAACGCGGGCCAGGGGGGAAGAGCGGGGTGGTCATGAGGGGGGTGGCCCCGGAACGCCTTCAGCGAAGAAACTCCAACCCCAATGCTGAGAGTGTGTCCGCCAGGGCCGCAGCCTTCGAGAACATGGCTAGGGAAAGGCCCCGATCTCTCTACATTCCCCCAGCCCACAAAGATGTGGAGAGGACCCAACCTCTGCAGCCTTTGCCTCCCTTACCTAGCAACCGAAACACCTTCACAGTAAGTACCCAGAAAACAGCGGTAGTGGCAGGCGGGATCGCAGGCAAGTTCCCTCAAGGGCCTGCCCAGGAAAGCTCTTCCGTGGCAAAGGGGATCAAATCCCAGGGACTCCGGTCCTTAAAGATCTCTCCAGCCACCCGGGCACCGCCCGCTGAATCTACTAGCAAGAAAAATGGCAGTGATGGGGAGAAGGGCTTGGACTCAGGCAGCAGTGACTGTGGGAACTACCTAAGCAGTCCTCTCAAAGGGAACGTGGGGGGTGCCGAGGTACCTGGAAGGGCAGGAGCGGTGGCTTCGTCTGCCGCCACTCTCTGCAGCCTGCCGCCCCTAAGTGCCCGAAGCCAGGTCCCCAACAGTGCCAAGGGTGCCCAGAGCAGTGGGGTCAGTCGGCCTAGCTGGCGCAACAAAACAGACAACGCTCGGGACCCAGCCACCACGGCCCCAGCACTACCCCAGAGCCCTGAGCATCCCCCCACAGCTGTCTATCACCAGCAGTCACTGCCTTTCACCCTGCATGGCGCCCAACCTCAGGTACTGTGCTTCTCCCCTCCCGGCATCTCTGCCCCACCCCCTGCAGCAGCAGCTCCAGGTCCCACAGACCCCTTCCAGCAGCCACAGCCTCAGCAAACCCAGCGAAAGATGCTACTAGACCTGACCACTGGCCAGTACTACCTGGTAGATACACCAGTTCAACCCATGACAAGGCGGCTATATGATCCAGAGACTGGGCAGTACGTAGATGTTCCCATGACCTCCCAGCAGCAGGCAGTGACTCCCATGTCAATCCCTATCCCTCCTTTAGCTTTGAGCCCTGGTGCCTATGGCCCCACCTACATGATCTATCCTGGCTTTCTGCCCCCAATGCTGGCCCCCAATGCCCTGCAGCCAACGACCCTCACCCATTCTCCTGGAGGAAGTGAGCTCTCTCCCATGACTAGAGATCCTTCTGGCAAAGATGCAGTAGGCCCCAGAGAAATGGCTTTTGCTGAAACCCCGTATTTTATTGCCATGGGCCAGCCTCCCTCCTCTACTTCAACTTCTGGCCCCACTGCAACCTCCCAGCTTGTGGGCGCCAAGGGGTTCGCCCAGGTGCATGGCAAGCCTGTCATCAGCATCACCTCACAGCCACTGGGGCCAAGGATCATCACGCCCCCATCCTTTGATGGTACCACCATGAGCTTCGTGGTGGAACACAGATGATGAGCAAAAACATTTCTGGGAAAACAAACAGAAGCAGCTCTTGGTAAGTTTTGAAATTTCATTTGTTTGAAGTTCATAAATTGTAAAGTAGGGGTTCTCAGCCTCTTATTACATCATGACCCCCTTTGGGAGTTTGGAAAAGGCCTTCCCAGAATCATCTTTTTAAATGTATGAAATAAAATACAAAAAATTACAAACGAAACCAATTTTATTGAAATAGTTATATACATTCATACTATATGTACACATATACGGTATATATATGTGTGTGGATATAAATATGCATACATACAATCCATTGCTAGGGCACTAGGGTTCACAGGGTGGAGAGAGAGAGTCCTATCTTTGCCATATGGGCATTTCAGGGAGGTTAGATTCCATCCCATTCTAATTACTCAGGGGCTAAATTTCTAGTGGCCACCTCTCCAAGACTAAAAGTGTCAATCTGCATTGGCAGTCAGAATTTCTTACTGGAAGTTATATATATCTATACTTACGAAATCCCAGGTTCTTCCCCTCCCCCCCCTTCAAGTTTCTAGTTGCTGTATCATCCATGCCATCTGCTTCTTCTGCTACCCTGTAACCCTTCATTTGCCTCTCACCTCGTTTCTGACTTCTATCACTTTACTATTCCTTAGAATCTAAGGGCAGGAGCAAAGAGAGGTGATGAGAGGTTATGGTTTAGTTAATTGCTAAAACTCTGAAAAACAGTGAAATCTGAAAGAAATGAAAGTGAAGTTTACGGGATTGACTGTGGGTTTTATTTATCCATACTCTTTCTAGCCTTCTCTCCTGGCCTCTCTGAAGCCCCACCCCGACCCTTTTCCCTTTATCACCTCCCCATCCCCAACCCCCACTGTGGCACAAATAATATAAATAAAGTAGTTGGCTGGTTTTTTTTTTTTTTGTGGCAGTTTGAGGGATTGCTTCCTACTCGTCTTTTTTATTTCCAGCACCTAGAAGCTGCTCCCAGCACCAAGTATGGATTTGTTGACAAACAAATTTAGGAATATGATAAGTTTGATTGCTTTTCAATGGGTGCCAAAGGTTTTTTTTTTTCTTCATTTTAAAGGTGGTTATTAGAAACCACATGGTCCTTATCCTCTCTTCCCCTCATCTTTCTTTCCTATTTGAATTCTGGCAGAATTCGATAATATTACTAATTAAAGTGCCATTTTGAAAGCTCTTGATCTTTAGCTCTGGTGTTTGACTGTAAGTTCCATTTACGTCTTTTGGCTATTACTAGAGGCATTTCACACACAGGCAGGCAGGCACACTCACTCTCTCTCACAACAGCTCCCTCACACAACTTGACCTTTCCGAAAGCTGAAGATACCAGTGTTGCAACATATGCCCACTTACTGGCTGGGTCACCATCTTTTGGCTGTGCATGAAGAGACCCAGGGATGACTTGCTGTGCTCCTAAGTTGGGATTTTGTGTACCCTGGGATACTAACTACTCTTTTCAGGACTGGCATTCTGCTGATTTCAGTAGGGGAAATGCTGTCTTTCATTAGAAAAGGCAATCAGATAAAATAAAAATGCTCACTTCCTCCTTTGTTTATCATCTTAGACACAAGACATAGTCCATGCAAATATAGTCTGCCTGTGTGTGCTAAGAAACAATGCTTCTTGTTCAGCCTGCCACTTAGGAGAGTGTCCAGGACTCTGCCGGGAGCAAAGGGAGAATTACACACATATTATTCCTTTGTTCGAATCTAAGACACCTCTGTGCAAACCCCAATCTCCAAACCTGATTTTCAGGGGCATGGAGGGAAGTGTGTACGTGGAAGGACTCGGGGTTAGGGTGAGGGGGAGGAGGCTGTCTTTGCCCTGCGGGCATTTGGGAGAAAATATAATCCCTTCTCCTTTCTCCCCATCTTCATTATTAGTTTTTCAGAGATGGTGTTTCTTAATTCTGTATTGTCTGATTCTTGTACGTATGTCATCTACAAATTTTAAGACACTTTAAGTGATTCATACCTGTAGGTTTTTTTCACTCCTGGTGACCAGTTAGAAACTGAGGAAAGATCAGTTCTCTCCCAGGGAAGGAGGCTGGCATTGCTAACATGAAAGTTGGAGTCACCAGGATCTGGGTTTAAATTCTGATTCTGCCATTAACCAGGCAAGTCACTTGAAGTCTCTGGGCCTGAACATTCCTTATTTGTGAATAAAATCAGAGGTTTAGATTAGATGTGCAATTGTAATTCTATGATTCTATGATCCTAAGAGAAGCAGATTTTTGGCTTATGGGTGGGTCTGAGTAAATGGCACCCAGTACTTACGGTGTGTGCCAGGGGTTTGGAGTTATGAGGTCTATGTTTAGATACTAGCTCTGGCCAGTATAGATTTTTTTTTTATAAAAATGTATTGATATCTTTTAGTTTTACATCACCTCCATTTCAAAATGTATTCCCTACCCCTTTCCTTTGCTTTGAGGCTGACAATTAATATGTGCGTGACCATGGACAAACACCAAAACCATGGTATTTTTTCTGAACATTCATCCACCAGAAACTTCACAGTTATTGGGAGGAAAGTGTTTTGCAAATCTTAAAGAGCCATACTGATTTTATTATATTTGTACTTACTCTATATAGAGCTACCTGTATGTCATTGCCTTGGATAGAATGTGAATGCCTTGGACTTCCTAACTTGAATAGCATCTCAGACACTGACTAGATGAGTGACCCTGGGCAAGTGACTGAATCTTTCTTCTGCAGTTTCCTCGTTTATAATACTGTGAGGACCACATAAGATCATTAATATGATAGGTTATGAATAATTAATATAGAAGACATAAAATATTATATCTATTATATATTTTGTCTAATGGATTATATCTAATATTATACCTAATACATCATAATATATTTATAGTACCACACAATACATTATAATATAATACATTAGATATGATACATTAGATAGAATATTTAGACTTTTAATAAATATTGTGGTTTTCAAATCCATGCAGTTATTATTATCATTATTATTACTTCTTTGTATACCTATGGCCTCATAGAATGCCTGACACACAGCACACACTAAACAAATGCTTGTTGATTGATACATATGAGTTCTTACCTCCTGTAAATTGAGGAAAAGGGAAAGCTGCTAAACAACAAAAATGTTTCTCCATATAGAGTGGGGAAAGCCCTAGATTAGTAACCAGAAGACTTGTGAATTAAAGACCAGAGTCAAAGCTGTGTTGAATAATAGACATATGATAGTGGGCAAAGCTCTTGCCAATCTCTCTGGGCCTCAATTTTCTCATCTATAAAATGGGAACAATAATACCAGTCCCACCTACCTACTTTGGTTTTTGTGAGAATCAAATTAAATCAATTAGCATTTATAAAGTACTTGCTACAACACAGGTTAATTCCTAGGGATACAAAGATAAAAGTGAAACAAAGCCTGCCCTCAAGGAGTTTACAATCTAATAGGAGAGAGAACTTGTACATATTGATGTGGGCTAGGCTTTTGGAGTCCTTCTTTACCTGCAGAGATCCATCTCAAAAATCCTGTTATGATGTCTGTAGGCAGGAAGACCTCTGTCTTCCAAGGTCTGCTACATAGGTATATGCAAAGCATAGATACAAAATGGAGTACCATGCAGGGGACTTGAGTTTGGGGAGGCAGGGCATAACCTCGAAGGGCTTTATTTTGAAGACGGAGTTTGAGCTGAGATTTGAAGGGGAGCTAGTGAGGAGGGGGAGCATCGTGCAAAATGAGCTGGAGAACGAAATGGCAGACCACTCCAGTATCTTTGCCAAGAAAACCCCAAATGGGGTCATGAAGAGGCTCAGGATGGATGGGGAGATCATGGAGAGAATTGGATGGTTCATGGAGAGGAGAAATGTATAAGATGGCTAGAAGAGTCGGGAGAGGGCAGGTTGTCAGAAGCTTTGAAGGTCAAAGAGAGGAATTGATATCCTACTACTTCCTAGCAATGGAAGCAACAGGAGGGAGAAGGAAATGGGATGGCATGGTCAGACCTATGCTTTAGGAAAATCAGCTTAGTACCTCTGTGGAGGATAAATTGGTTTAGGGAGAGGCATGAGGCAGGAACACCAAATGAGAGGCTATTGCCATAGTCCATGGGGCAGGCGATGAGGGTCAACCCTAATTCTGAGTACTTGGTGTGGAATTTAGGATCCTAAGGCTAGATGGCACCTTAGAAGCTATCAAGTACATCTTCTTAATTTTACAAATCAGGAAACTGAGGAACAGGGGGCTTAAACGACAGGTCCAGAATTACATAATTTGTGTCTGAACCCAGATCTTTCTGATTCCAAGTCTAATGCCCTTCTATACTGACTCTTTACTTAGGTCTTAGAAAGTTGCCTGAGGCACAGAGAGGTTAAGGGACCTCCTCAGGGTCCCACAGTTTTTATGTGAACTCGGATCTTTCAGACTTTGAGGCTGGCTCTGTATATAGCCTACCATGCTGGCTCTCAGGCATTTAATAGTTACAATAAATAAAGAGAGGGAAGTTTGGTTGGAGTTACAGGTAATTTGGGGGAATTGAATTCATAGTTTTAGTTGGGTTCATAATGTCGTGAATCAACAACTTCCATTCAAAAATTACTAAGGACCTACTGTGCAAGGTTCTTGGGATCCAGAATGAGGTAGCCCCTGCCCTCTAGGACCTTATATTCTTCGGCAGTTGTCAGGGGGTGGGGGTGGGGGTGGGGTGGGTACTCTATGATCCAGCGGCACTGGCCTCAAACTGTTCCTCAAACATTATTAACCATTTCCCAGCCCTGTGCATTTTCACCAGCTGTTTCCCATTCCTGAAATGCTCTCCCACCTTATTTCCACCTCCTGGCTTCTTTTAAGTCTCAGATCAAATCCCACCTTCTTCAAGAGATCTTTCCTAGCTTGCCTTAATACTAATGCCTTTCCTCTGGGATCGTCTTTAATCAATCCTGTCTGTACCTTGTGTGTATGTGGTTGTTGTTCACGTGTTGTGTCCCCTGTTAGACAGTGAGTTC